CGAAAAGATCCAGAAAAAAACAGTTATGACAGATAAATCCTCAAAGAAGGTGAATGGGAATGAAAAAAAAGCTTATTTCCAGTCAAGAGGATTTTTAAAAATGAAAGAAATAACAGCATGTTATTTAGATTCCATGATTATTGCAAATATTCTTAATCTTGTCGTTTTAAGGAAAGTTATTATTTCAGGATGTAAGACTATTATATGGCCGCCAATTACTTTCAAAATTTAAGCCATTAAAAAAATTCATGGATAACGGAAAGGATTTTGAATACAATGGAATGTATCGATATAGAGTACCATGATTGAGACCGGAAGGAAAGAATGGGTTGGTGAAAAGAAGTTAGTTATTACCGGAAGGGATGAACGGTTTGACACGTGAAATAAGTTCAATTATTATATCGATTAGGTGACTAAACGTTGATAAGAAAGAATGATTGAGTTTCGGTTCTAAATGGCAATTATAGCAATAACGTAAAAGAGTTGGTTTCATCTCTTAAGCCCCCCCCCTTCCAATTAATATAATTTTAAAAAATGTAATTTGTTTTTAGAACGATATATTTAAATTTTTATTCATGAAGCCAGTTAGATGCGCTATTGACTCCCTGAACAATACATTAATATACCATGAAAGTTTTAACATCATCCACGATATCAATAAATGGGTCGATAAAGAACTCTCTAATCTAGACCAATCTAAAAGTAATTACATTTTGATTGTTCGCATATGTGTTTTATATGTTATAATTAGGTGAAAACTATTTAAATTGCTTAAAAAAAGTAATGATAATAAAGTCAAGGATGAATATCTCAATTATTATATTAATCGAGATAAAGGGCGGGGGTTGGATGGGTGGGGTAATAATTAGCTTTTATTTGTAAAGATCTCTTTTTTAGTTATCATATTGCCATCAACTATATGATTGGATTCTTCTTTCCAATATATTGTGTTTGAACAGAAAATTTAAAATAATTGATCGAATTAAACGATTGATAGGAGAAGATTTAAGTTTTCATTTCATTTATAATTTATGTTTTTCGGTTTGATTTGATAAAGTTAAATAAAAACATTAAATATTTATTTTGCTGAAATATATTATAAGAAACATATATAACAATAAAATCATAAGTATCTGATATAGGGATAAAATATTTTTGTAACTAATTCGAATAATAATTTTCTATAATTCTGACTGAATTTCACTCTAAACTATTTTTGAGATGAAATAAAATGGATGCCCCTCCCCTTCTGTTTCGATAAACAAAATCATATTCTTTTTCCAGATTGTGATTAATTTAAAAACGGAAAATATAAAATATAATAAAAATTTCCATTTCTCAAAGTAGAATGAAGGCAATAAAATGAGTTTTTTTTAAAAAATTTAAATTATCAGTTACGGGGAAGGGGAGAGAGATAAATTTTTATGAAATAAGTAATTGATCTTAAAAAACTGACAATTTATAAGATAAATTAATGAAGATAATATCTATAATCATTTTTATATGCCAAATTGAATCGAAAAATTATTCAACTTACCTTTAAAGCATAAATGATTTGTATCGGTGAAAAAATTAAAAAATATCAGCCGACCTGTCCATACATACCATGAGTAACAAATATAAAATATTTATTTTTAAAAAAAATGTTTCTCAAAGTCTAAACTTTAACTTTAGAAGGAAAAATCATTTTAAAAATGAAGAGAAAACTCTAAACTATGTTGTGTGTATTTTAGAGTTAGCTAATTAAAAGAAATTTATATATGATAATTTAACTTTTCCCTCTATTTATTATTATTATTATAGTTTTGACTGACAAGCTCAACCTCCATCGATCGTTATATGTCTCTAGCCTTAATCTAAAATTGGACAAATTGAATCTACACGTGCGGAATAAAATTGAAAAGAACGAGAATTTGATCACAAAAATGCTAAAATTTTGGTTTTTTTAAAAAAAAAGAAATTTTAAAAGTCTTATATTTATGATTTCGGGGAAACCCCCGGAAAATTATCAATATCCGAGCCCTCATTTTGAACTTTCATGTCCAATCCGATTCCTAGAGAGAAAGTAAAAATTGTTCGACCAATCAAATTCTAATAATATTAAAATTTTATTTTAAAGAGAAATGGGCCCCTATCCTATTTTTCTAGAGAAATATCCGAATCAGAGGGAAAATGTAATCTGGCTTGGGTTGGATTAAGAATCAATCCGCGAAGGACTCGAATTTATTAATTGAACCCTACATGCCTTTTTTATATATAGACTGACACTAACACGCATCAGGCCTTTCGCTTATACCTAGTTGGGTTTATTTAGGAAATCAGGCGGATAACCTCTCTCTAGTTTCGTTAACGGCTAGATTTTGAAAAGGGGTTAGCCCAATAATCTAGCCAAAAATAATATTATGCTAGCTTGGAGATTTTGTTCATAAACGATAAGAAAAGTTTTGACATCTATTAACGAAATCTCGAGGCTTACGCAATGTTATTTTGCAAAGACTCTACAAACCCATATTATCACATTTAACGTCTCAAAAAATATATTATTTTTTAATTTTCTGTTAAAATAAGTAAAGAAATTCTAGTTGGACTTTTTGCTTCTTTGGGAGTTTATTTTTCGATGTTTTTTCTTTCCAGTTATTTTATTCATAACGCATCTCGAAGAAAGAAATAAGTGAGATGCCATTTTCCTTTTTTAAAAAAAATTAAATTAATTAACTATTTGTCCTCTCGAGTTAATTTACATAATATTTGCCTCTTTTTTCTAATAGCAAATTAGCCTACGTTGAATATCATTTGACTTACACTATATAAAAGAAAACTTTAAAAATATCTATATACATTTTTCTCGCAATAATTTAGGATCGAAAAGGAATTCACTCAATTTTGTCAACGCAACCAAATTTCAGAACGAAAACAGGATTAGATACTAAATGAATGGATCGGGTCCTTTTTAATACTACCAACATTTTCGTTTTATGGGGGAGTGGGGGGGGGGCCTATTATAGTATTTTATAAATATTATCGACGCAATAAATATATTTAAGAAATCCCTTGCAAATATGACATTTTTATACTGTTTTTGAGATATTCTTTGATTACTAAAATCAAATTTATATAAACACATTGCCCATATTTATTTATATTAAAAAATTTATTGTAATGTGATTTTTTTTCTTATTTCTAAATTCACTTTATAGCTGTTTAATTATCAGGCAAAATGGATGGCTAGGAAGGAAATATAATATAGATATTTTTTGGATTGCGGTCTATATTTTCTTATATTACTGTAAGTCTACCCTGGGGTATGCTAATATACATAATACAATACTTAACTTTACTATACTTTTTAACACTGCATTTATATGAATTGGTACTTTAAATATAATAATAATTCACATTATTTTTTTTATATAAATTTTAAAACCCTCAAATGCAATCGTAACGTCACAGAGCATAATATTTGAGGTGCTATTATAGTTAGGGCTAAAAATTGTATAAAAATATATAATAAGCTAGAGAGTTAATAATTTTATTTATGCTAAAATATAAATAGTGTATATTTCATTTTGTCTCTAAATTAAAATAATTATATATGTCAATAGTATAATAAACAATTCATGGCCGATTTTTTCCCAGATTTACTTTAAAAATTTTCTAGGAGATATGAACGAGGTTCCCAATTTTTAGCGATTTAGAACCTTTAGCTGCATAGTTTGCCGCGGCATTTTTTTATGAATTACTTCCAAAAAAGCATATAATATACCAAAGACTTGTAGATGCGGTCCGGAACGGTAAAAAATTGTAAGATTTTTAAAAAATTCAGACTGGGGTAAAGATTTAAAAATTTGGGCCAGGTATAAAAAGTGATAAAAATTTTGGACAGGCCGCTTTTTAAATTAATAAAATTATGTCAATCAATCAATTTGAAAATGTTGTGTGAATTTTCAATTTTCCTTTGAAACAATCTGCAAAACAGTAGACAAAATTTTATATTTAAATTAAATCATTGGCTTGTAATTTTTTATAAAAAAAATTATAACTCATAACACTCCAACATTAATTATATATCTAATAATAATTAACAATATTAAATGGATTTTAAATCTAGGGGAGTTGTGCCATAAAAGGCCATGTTTTTTCTTTTTTCAAAGAAGGGCATCAAGATATGTGTAGCCCAATTCTATAATAAATTTTTTTATCAATTCACCATAAAGAAAAATATGCGATCCATAAAAGTTAAACGTCCATAAAATTAAGTCCAGAGAAAATTTTTTTGTTCAATTATTGTTTTGTTAATATTTTTAAACTATTATTCCATTATTTATTGTGAAAATATAACACATACTTCCTTCCCCTTTTAAAATATTTATCATGTTGTAAAGATAAAATTTTCCTCTACGCTTATTTGTAATTTCCAGTTTACTCAAGTTAGCCAGTTTTCCTTCTGATTTTTCTTTTCCTATTTGTAAGAAATTTTTGAATTTATGGTCAAATTAATGGAGAAAGTTTCACTTCACTGTATAATATTTTTTCTGTTGGACTAATCGAAAGCGAAAATATTTATATATATTTAAGTAAATAATTAAAATAATATAGGAAATATTGGAATTTATAATTAAAGAAAATAATATTGAAATTTGATATCAAAAAGCTATATTTTTCTTTAAAAAAGAGGGGTTAATAAAGGTCATATAAGTAAATGGGGGGGGGGGCTGAGTAAAGTTGTGGGTATTAGGAAATATACCTTTAGAATACGTAAGACTTTTTACAGTTTAAAAAATATGATGAAGAAATTTGCTCCAAAGATAGAGACGTGGAAATTAATAATATTGAACCATTTTGAAACCGAAAATAACAATTCTTGTGATATGCCAATGAGTTAATAATTTAAAAAATGTAATATATTATTTATATACATTCAAAAAATAGTACTAATTTTTTTTAAAAAATGTCAACTTTTAATTGTTGATATATTTCATAATTTGTGTTGAAAGTCTGTAATGAAATAAACGCTACAAATGTAGCTAATTCATTTACAATATATCGATTTTTCACGCCAACTTTTGTTCAAATACCTAATTTTCAGTTTAATTATTTTTTGGCGAGTATCGTTATTGTTCCCATTGAATATCTGTTGAAAAAATAATAAATATAAAAGTTTAATACATTGATCAGCTAATATCGTATAAGCATCTATCCCATCAACAATGAATATAATATTTGAAAAAAAGGTGGTGTCAATTGAACAAAAATACCTCATGTAATCGTAGCCCACGTTAAACCTTATGGGGAATCAATAGGAAAAGACCCAATATTTAAGCCAAAATAACATTATGTAAGCTTGGAGATTTATTTGCCAAAACTCGAGGCTAACATTATATAATTTGGCTAATATCTTAATCGAGCCATTTTTAAAAATCGGGTTTAACAAAACTAATTTGTGTTTGGTTTATGCTCGAAATTTATAATGTTTTTACTATATTAAAAATTTATTTCATTTTTAGATTAATTGTTTTAAAAAAATAATAAATTCAAAAACATTAATTTTTATTAACAACCTAATGTGAAATGAACAATTATTTTAGTGCTTACAAATGAAAAATTTTGGTTTGCGTTTTATTTAAAATAATGTATTTATGATGATTTAGAATAAATAGGTGGACACTTTTTTGGGGGTTAAAAAAAGGTAAATTATTTTCATCATTTTTTTATAAAATGTCATTCAATTTAAATAAAGTGTTTTGGGGAAAAAATATATCGCTAAATGCTTCTGCCCAATTTGTAAGCCCTATTTCACCTGTTTTGTATAAATTCCACAATTTTCGTTGTTAAAAGTGTGCTGAAAATTTTGCTTTCCTCTAATTTCGATGCCACATTGCTTTGCATTGTCGTTTTTGCGATTATAGCGTATATGGAGTGTATACGGAAATTTCCCCAAATATCGTTCGACATAATTATATGGGATCTCGATCGCGCCATAAAATGGCCTTTCGAAATCAAAGTATAATTTTGTTTGATAATCGCTGCATATAGCCGTGATTTCTTTTTTTTTGTATTTGAATTATAATATTAGTAAATCTATATATTAATATGAAAATACACAAGGATGTATAAACTAATGAACTCTATCAATAAGTTTTAAATGGTGTTTTCCACACACTAAGTTAAAGTTTATATATAAAAATAAATTAGAGGGAGTCCAATACTAAAAGGTTAAATTTGGATCAAAATAATAATAGATAATAAAATATTAATCATTAATTTACAAAACACTAATAGATATGTCTACCAACACTTAATCACTAACAAATTTTTTTTAATATCAGATTCTCGAAATACGCATACCTTGGGTTTTTGTTAAAGTAGTTTATTAATCCTATAATAAATTTGATGCACAGTATTTTAATGATATAATTAAAATTTTTCCATTTGCATTATCGTTATAGGGAATATTAAGTTTATACTTCCATATTATATTTATAATACATTTTCCAAAATTTTTTTACACATAACATATAATATGATTCAAACTTTCCCAAATTTTATTTATCATAATGTCCATTTTATAATTTTAAAGCTTTAAATTTTTTTTATATAACTTAATGGTGCAAAGATTAATGTGATCTAATTTTTTTTTTAAATAGTTGAAGGATTTAAAATTTAACCCCCACCCCGCCGGAAATTCGAAAATATAAGTCTTACTGGGTTTAAAATGAAATCATGTCCAGCAAGTTTCATACCATTTTATCTGGTCTCACTTAAGTAAGCTAGATTTTCAAAAAGAAATCTTATTCCTCTATCATTTTTTAGCCAAGCAGCGTCTACATTCGAGAAGATTTGCCGCCATTTTTAAAGGGCGGGAGGGTTAAGCATCAAAAATGGGTTTAGACCGGGGGTAAGGTTAAATATAGAATAAAAGCATAATAATTGGTAAAAAGTTTCTAATTTATTAAGATATTTTAAATGATTCATTTTCAGATGACATTTTAAAACAGTTTGAATTTATACACTCTCATAGTTAATTTAGCTTTTACTTAGTTAGTATTACAACTAGCTGATTATCTCCAACTAATGTTCACCACAAAATTTTTTGAGGGTAGGAGTGGATTTAGTGGGGGTGAGGGGCTTTTTTCAACTTATTCTTTGTCACGTATACGCAAGTGTGAATGGAGAGCCTATTATAGCTGATTATTAAGTAAATTGCAACTTAACCTATTCTTAATTTTTAATCAGATATATATAAAATTAATATAACTTGTAATTTGTGGTTCGTAAAAATTATTGTACGATATTGGGTCTTTATTGTATTCTGGAAACTTCCAAAAATGCCAAATATTCCATATGCTGCTAACTTCTGATAACTAAAATTAATAATTATTGAATAATTTTTAAAAAAAGCACTGTAGGCTCAATGTAGAAGGATTAACTCTAATTTATCACAAAGTATATATTTTGTATAACCATAAGAAAGGCCTTTATTAATTAGTCTTAATAAACTATTCCTTTAATTCATAGGCGCTGATTGCTCGCCCCTCCATCGAAATATTCTATAAAATAGATAATCTTGACTTATTAATATTTTATACATCAAATTTTCTATCTGTAAAGAAAATTGGTCTTTTAAATGATCTGAATTTAGAAGAAAAGACTAATTTAAAAATAATCAAATGATTTCTAAGAAGAATGGAACATAGGAGAGGTAATGTAGATGTTTCAAAGAAATTAAATAATATCTTTAATTTTAAAATTTACACAGCTTTCACTGCGCCAAAATTATGAGTTGTGCATTAAAAAATTTGGTTTTTTTTAAAGCCAACTCAAAGGAGGTGTTTTTCTCAAATATGAAATATTTTGGCAGGCTTGATAGTATATATACGTGTTCTGTCCATCCTTTTGCCACTGGTCAGTAACGCAAATGATTACAACTATATTTTAGTATTTTTTTATTTCTATCTTTTGCCAGTATTTATTTCCATTACTGAACATTACTTTAAAAATGTAGTCGTTACTTTTAGCTTACTATCTGAATAAGAGAACATTAACTTTCCCGCTACTTTTCAAATGCGTCACGTTGCTTTTAAAATAAAATACTATAACAACATAACTGGTGCCGATGATGGTAGTCACATTTAGAATTATTTTTACTATCTTAAAATTTACGTAATTCAACTATATAAAATATTATATTTTTTTGAATTTAGTAAAAACTAATCTACAATTGATTATATACATATAATATATATGAATTAAAATTTAATTTATAAGATCTATATTATAATCTTTTAATTTGATCTGAAAACTCGACAAAAATTAATATTTTTTGCAATTTCCTTCAGTTGGCTTATAATTTTGTATTTAAATCTAAGTTCCAAAAGCAACGAGTAACAAAAAGCGTCTTACTTTCTAAAAATAGTAACGAATGACATTATTTTCCCTCTTAAGAAATAGCATCATAAGTAATACAGCTCTACTTATTTCCGGTTCATTAAAATTATTCAAATTCAAACATTATGATACCTGATATGTTAGGAATATTAAAAGTTGCAAATTGAATGTCATTTTATTTTAAGCCCATAAATAAATTTATTTTATTGTAAACATCGTTTTTTTAAAAAATTAATTTATTATAAAATTTATTTATAAAAGAAAAATTATATATTTTATAACTGAAATTATCCAACTAAAAGATTTTTTTTAACCTAAATTTCATATATTAATATTCTGACTATACATTTCCAATATGTGGTTTATATATGTATACTAAAAAGAGGAATGAAAATATTAACATTTCAAACGCAAAAGTCTCCTCATTTTTTCTAACATTTTATCTCTATACAAAAGTTTGACATACATCTAATTGTCATTGTTTACTCTTTTTTTTACACTTATACAACAAAATAAAAAATCAATATCAGTTATATTATATGCTATTAATTATGCTTTCTAAAAACAATCAAACTGATATTAAATTTTATGATGGTATCGAAGGTTATTAGAACATTACCTCGATGCCAAAATCAGAAATATGTTGTTTACTTGTATTATAAATTACCATATTATTTGTTACTCGCTTAAAAATTGAGATGTAATATAAATATTGGCTCAACTGAAGAATATTATAAAATATTCATTTTCACCCCATTCTTAGATACTTTTTTATCGCAAATAAAAGTATGGTTTTTAGATATAAAACAAGTCTTTAGCAATTTTCAAGTTTTATTACCCAAAGATCCTAATTCGTTTTTTAATGTCACTAATGGTAAAATTAATATTTAGCAAAATTTTATTTCTATGAGATTGATACTGAAATAAATTTAAACAGTGAATTCGAATTGTGGTATAAATATTTACGACGTTTAGCTATTTTACCTGAGCATGCTATTGATGCGCTCAATAGGTATAAAGAAACCTTGGCTCAATTTCCGAATATTTTGAAGTTGTTTTATATTCTTGCATGTTTGCCTATTACAACATGTACGAATGAAAGGACTTTTTCCAACTTGAGAAGGTTGAAAACATATTTACGAAGTACTACTTCCGAATCTCGGCTAAATGGGTTAGCTCTGTTAAATATCCACAGAGATTTATTTACGTGTTTTTTCCTTAATGGAATCTCTATGCTAAACTATGTTTTTGGTTTAAATTTTGTAAATATGTTGAGCATCATCACCTGGGTTAAATAATTTTTCATTCTTTCTTTAAGGAATATTTTTTCTATAAAAAATTGATTTTCATCATAGATTCTTATATAAAAATTTATTTCCAAATTTAGCCCAAGATAGGAGATATGTTATAGAAGCCGGTGCGGTTAGCCGCGCCTGGCAATATATTTTTCGAGTTGTGCGGGTGAACTTGTGCATAATTATTTTATGGGTTGAGCCAAAAATCTTTTATTAAAAATTACTAAACTCACTCTCGCGTCGACCTCGAATAATATATGTATATCCTTAATAATAATAAATTTAAATATGATTATAAGTTTTGCTTAAGTCTTTTTAAAGTCTTAACCTCTGCACTATAATCACGTTTCACAAAAATAATAGAAAAAATTTAAAACAAAAATTTGATTTTTAACTAAAAGGCTCTTTCTGCAAAAAAATATGCTTTATCCTCTACAGGATCTCCTGACCCCATCCATTGGATAGTAATTTATATTGCAATGAATATATAATGAAGGTGCTTTTGCTGTAAAGTAAGGCATTACTCAGTGATAGTTTGCAATAAGAGCAATGAACGACTGGCAACTCTTTTACTTTTTTGAGGTTTGAGAGTATTTATTAATCTGCGTATATGTTTGCGCGTGGATTGTAAATCGTTTATAAATTTTATATCATTTCCCTTTGATTTATAAAACACATTTATCGTAATGAGAGAGAAAAATTAAAAGTAAAATACGAAGATATACTTTCATCCCTAAAATAAAATTTCAACTCGATTTTTCCTAAGCTACCTTCCCACAAAAAATAAAATATATATTGGTAATGACTCCTAGTACTCTGGGCAAGTAGACAATGGTTCTGGATATTCTATTTAATAATTAATAAATAACTCTTTAGGGAAATGGTATGTGATGAGGCGACCCCCAACAAAGTCTAATATAATATACTGGAAAAGGCTAATTAGAGTATTAATCAAAGCGAATTTATTTTTATGGTTAGCACTAGTAGTGTTAAACGTACGTTTTGAGCCGATTTTTTGAAACGGCTAACTCAATATTTCATCCAGAATAATATAACGCAAGCCTGAAGATTTTGTTTGTAGGAGGAACAAAGGTTTGGACAACTATTAGCGAAATCTTGAAACTTAGGCAATATTTTTCTGGATAAAATATTGAGTTAGTCTTTTTTTTAAATCGGCTCAAAACGAGCCTTTTAACAACACTAATGAGCACTCGTAATTTCAAATTTAAAGCTAGCTTATTTTACATTGATGTATATAGCCTGACTAAAATTTCTTGGATTGATGATTTACTTACTGATATAATTGTCAATCATGAGGTAATCAATGAATGCAGTGGCGTATCCAGGATTTTCTTAGGCCTTCGGTCGGGTCTTATGTTTTAGCTATTCTATTTAACTTTTATTTACTAATTCGTGCTTATGGATATTACAAGCTTATTTTTTATTATTTTAATTTAGGTATATTATATTCAGTGGCTTAGCTAAAAAAAATTCTTAGAGGGGGTCCATACATATAAAAGCATGGGGGGGGGGCTTCGCCTCCCAGACCCCCTTTAACGGGCCTTCGGCCGGGTTATCTTACATAACCATATCTTCGATAATATATAATAAATATATTAATGCATCAATAATATGTTATTATAATTGAGTAGATTATTCTCAATGACTTTATAATAATACTACCCAGAATAATTTCAATAGTAATATAATATCCTTACACAAACATCAAAACCAAAAAATATAAATTAATGGTATTTTTTTGATATAAAGTCACTTTTAAGTCTTTTGAACGTATAATCTAAAAAAATATTTTAGCTCTGGGTGGGGTCCAAACCCAAAAACCACCCCCGTAGCTACGCCACTGATTATATTTAATAAAGTTTTTTTTTAAAGTTGAAAAAAGTTTAATGTCATTTTTTTTTATAAAATTTGCTTTAAAAACTTGCCTCCGCTTAAATTCTCATATATAATTTTTTTATTGAAAATACTAATAGTAGTGTGTATAAAATATTAACTAGAAAATAATTTAAAAAACAAGTTTTTTTAACTTCTTATCAAATACAATATTATACAAAAATTTTTATTAAATACTATAATTATAATGTGATTTTTAATTTTCGTGGGATGTTGCCAATTCATCAAGAATTTTGTTTGTCGTTGGAACCAAATCTCTGTGGATATTTAACAGAGCTAACCCATTTAGCCGAGATTCGGAAGTAGTACTTCGTAAATATGTTTTCAACCTTCTCAAGTTGGAAAAAGTCCTTTCATTCGTACATGTTGTAATAGGCAAACATGCAAGAATATAAAACAACTTCAAAATATTCGGAAATTGAGCCAAGGTTTCTTTATACCTATTGAGCGCATCAATAGCATGCTCAGGTAAAATAGCTAAACGTCGTAAATATTTATACCACAATTCGAATTCACTGTTTAAATTTATTTCAGTATCAATCTCATAGAAATAAAATTTTGCTAAATATTAATTTTACCATTAGTGACATTAAAAAACGAATTAGGATCTTTGGGTAATAAAACTTGAAAATTGCTAAAGACTTGTTTTATATCTAAAAACCATACTTTTATTTGCGATAAAAAAGTATCTAAGAATGGGGTGAAAATGAATATTTTATAATATTCTTCAGTTGAGCCAATATTTATATTACATCTCAATAATTGCCTATGTGCTAGACAAAGTTTAATTAGTGTTATATAAAATTTAGCCTTCGATTCAACCTTTAGATAAATATTATGAAAATATTCATCTATATTCATTCTTATTGTATCTACCTGTTCATATATATTTTCCGCCAAATCAATAACCTGAACCAAATCTAAATTTGGTTTTTGTAAATTTATACAAAGTAGTGAGTTATAGGAAAATAATTTATTGATGCAACTAGCAATAATAAAATAAATTACCGTTTGATTACAATCTCTTTGAACTAAAAATTTTTCCATTTTATTAATATTTTTGAATAATGTTAATGTACTCACAAGGAGGAAACTTTAATAAAATTTATTTATAAAAAATAAGTTTTATGTTTGGAAAATTGATATTCAAATATTTATAAAATTTTGATTGGGGGGGGGGGGTAAAATTTTTATTCGCTTAAAATGATATTAATGAAAATATTCAAATTTGCGATTACGCGCCTGAAAGACTGGGTGTCAAAAACTCTTATCAGATTCTGAAATTATATTTTCTTTATCGGGGAGACAACTGATGCGGTAATGTCCTAATATGTTTTTTTTCTGATAATTTCACGTTGGTTGCGGTTCAATTTGTTGTAAGTAAACTTTAAATTCCTTTCTTTATTTTTCCTCCTTTAAGCATTACATTTGGAAATTTTTCTATTTGCACTCATGTTTCAACTTATTTCCGTTAGGCGATGTAAATAATTCCAGATTTTAAGTAATAAGAATCTCGATGTAGAATCATTTTACCAGATCCTGATATTAAAAAGAAAATACTTGTCAAATTGTGGTGGATATCAATATCAATGAATATGATTTTTGGCTCTTGGAAAATTTTAACGGGGTTTGGCCCGGCCTCTATTTATTGTTTGTTTTTTGGGTCAGAATACTTTTTTAAAATTACGCCAGGCCTTAAAGGAAGGGGATGCCAGAAAAATAATTTAATGATATACCCCCTTTTAAAATATTAAACTAAAATTAAAAATACGTATTTTTAATTTTTGGAAGGCAATTAATAATTCCTCTATCAATTTATCCCTCGTTCTATATTTGGTAAACAGACTTTTTGTGTTTTATGACATAATGTAATTAGAAGTAATGAAAGATTCCTAATATTATGTCACAAGTTATATTTAACGCAGTTCAGAAGTCTTTGAAAAGAGAAAAAAATATTTAAAATTTTTAGCATCGTATGAATAGTGATATCTGGAACATTAGAAAATAGCCACATTGAAATAC